ATGTTGTTTAGGCTGTATACATTATAAGTATTTGTTCTTCCAATATTAAGTTCGCTGCACTTGCTGGTGTTAAATTTCATTTGCCATTTTTCAGACCACCCCTGCAGTTTATTTAGATCCTCCTGTAATGCATTTGCATCCTGCCCTGAATTAATTTGCCGCCCTATTTTGGTGTCATCCGCAAACTTGCTAATGTCACTGCTGATCCCAGTATCTAAATCGTATATGTAGATTATGAACAAGAGTGGGCCTAGTACTGACCCCTGGGGAACCCCACTGGTTACACGGCCCCACTCAGATTTAACACCATCTACGCTGACCCTCTGCGTTCTATCGGTGAGCCATGATTTTATCCAATTTAAAACTTTCCCCTCGATACCATGAGCCTTAATTTTTCTCAGAAGCCTCTGATGCGGTACTCTGTCAAATGCTTTGCTAAAGTCTAAGTAAATAACATCGTAATTTTCGTCATTATCTACTACCTCGAAGACTTTCCTAAAAAACGTTAGCAGATTTGTTAGACAAGATTTTCCCTTTGTAAACCCATGTTGAGAGTCGTAGATTAATTTGCTTTTCTCTAGATGCGATCGGATGCTATCTGCTATAATTGATTCAAGAAATTTCCCCACTACTGACGTCAAACTGATCGGCCGGTAATTTGACGCTGATGCTCTGTCTCCCTTTTTAAATATGGGTACTACATTCGCCTGTTTCCACAACTCTGGCACAACTCCAGTGTCTAATGATTTTGTAAATAAATTTACGAGGGGTCCGCTAATCTGTTCCCTACACTCTTTTAAGACTCGAGGAAAAATTTCATCCGGCCCTGGGGATTTTGTGTTCTTTAGTTTATTTATCTTCTTAAGAACATCCTCTTTTCTGATGGTGATATTCTTTAATTTCTCTTCTTCCTTTCCCTTAAATATCAGTTCCACCTCCGGAATTTCATCGCAAATTTCTTCTGTGAAAACTGATAAGAAGTAGCTGTTCAATGCTTTGCTCATGTCTTCACTGCCATTTATCAATTCTCCCCTCCCTGACTTTAAAGGCCCAACTTTGTCCTTGACCTTTGTCCTATATACCTGGAAAAATCCCTTGGGATTCGCCTTGGATTCTCTTGCTATTTTGATTTCATAGTCTCTCTTTGCTTTCCTTACATTTTTCTTAACATTCCTAGATAGTTCATTATACCTGTTTCTGAGCTGCTCCTCCCCTCCCTTTAATTTCTTATATATTCCTTTCTTTATTCCTATGTCATGTTTAAGTTTTCTGGTCATCCACCTTGGCTCATTCTTATTTGACCTAATTTTTCTGTATGGTATATTTTGTTCTTGTGCTTTATGTAGTATACTGGTGAATATATTATAGTCATGATCAATTGTTGCGTCATCTATGATCTCACCACTTCCTACTGGGGACTGATGTGACTGTTCCCAGGTGACCTCACCTAGGTACTTTCTTAACCCCTGATAATCCGCCAACCGAAAGTTTGGGACTCTGACCATATTGTCATTGTTTTTCGTTTCCCAATTTAGGGTAAACCTGATTTCTCTGTGATCACTGTTACCTAGTTCTTCCCCTACTGTGATATCTCTGATAATATTTTCTTTATTTGTTAATACTAGGTCTAATATATTGTCACCTCTAGTAGGTTCTGTAATTAGTTGTTTCAAAAAATTGTCCTGTACTGCGTCTAGGAAGTCTTCAGATTCATAGTCGCCTACAATGTTGTCCCAGTCAATATTTCTGAAGTTGAAATCCCCCATAATGCATAGGTTGTTATATTTTGCTGCCCTACTCATTTCCTGCCATATGGGCTGAGCTGCTTCTTTGCTAAGACTTGGGGGCCTGTAAATCACTCCCATAATTAGTTTTTCTCTTCCTTCCGTGATTTCTACCCACACAGACTCGGTTCCTATTTCACCCTTTATTGAATTATTAGTACAACATTTTAATGTATCCTTGACGAAGAGTGCGACCCCTCCCCCCTTCCTACCTTCCCTGTCCTTGTGAAAAGGTTGTACCCTTCTATGTGGTACTCTGATAAAAAAATTTTGCTCGCCAGATTCATCCAAGTTTCGGTGATTGCTATGACGTCTACATTCTCGGTACATACAACCGCTCTCAGCAAGTCTATTTTATTTCTAACGCTCCTACTGTTTGTATAGTATACATTTAAACCTACCCTTCCCTAGTCCTGTTTTACCCCTTGTCCTGAGCAACTAATTTTACTTCCCAGGACCTGCTTGTTTTTTGATTCCCACTTTCCCCGACCCCTCTCTACTGGCGAAACCCCCCCTTCGGAGTGACAATTTCACGCTCCAGGGATGCAGACAACGTCTTTACCCCCTCACGAGACAAGTGTACTCCGTCGCGACAGTACAGGTAGTCGTTGCCATAGAATCGTTGCCAGTTATCAATGAATGCCCAACCATTGTTTGCACAATGTTTTTCCAGTCGGCAATTAATAGCAATTGCCCTGGACAGCCATTCACGACCAACCCCTCTTCTAGGCAAGACACCACATACTATCGGGATCCCTCCCCTATCTCTAATCTTCCCCAGCGCCTCTCTATACCTCTTGAAAAGTTCCTCACTCCTAACCTTACCTATGTCGTTTCCTCCCACACTAAGACACACTACTGGATTGGTACCCTCCCCTGACCTGACCTAACAAACTAATAAAGAATGAATGAGACTTTAATACCATATAAGGATTTTGTTCAGTTAAATTTTTGTTAAAGTTGATTTAGCCTTCGTAATAGTACAGGTAAAGGTAGTGGGATTTTGTCCAGTTGATTAATATTGTGGTGGAGTTATGTCCAATGGGTGTTATGTCCAATGGGTGTTATGTCCTGTGTGTGTGTTTTGTACCCTTGTGTGTTGATACATTGCAGAGCCGTGTGTGTGTGTGGGGGGGTCAGGTATAACTAGGAAAGAACAAGTAAGCTTATTGATTCAACGTGTGTGTGTGTGTGTTTTAATCTTGTTTTTTCGTTAAGTCTTGTCGTTATTTTTGTGTTTATTATTTATTATTATTATTATTATTATTATTATTTATCATATTATTATTATTATTATTATTATTATTATTTATCATATTATCATTATTATTATTATTATTATTATTAATTATTATAAAACTTGGTGCGAATTATACTTTCCTCCCCCACGCCTTCTCCCCACGCAACGCCTTCTCCCTCCCCCACGCCACCTGCCTCCATCCACGCCCTCCCTGTCTCTTTACCCACACACCCTCCATCTCTTCCCTCATCTGTGTCTCCCTTCTCCTTCTCGTCTCCTTCCTATCCATTTATAACACTATCGTCTCCCCCTGTCTCTACCCTCTTCTCCCCCTCCTCTCCTTATCTCCCTTCTTATTATCCTCCTCCTTTCCCAACTCTTTCTCTCTCTCTCTCTTCCATAACCTCTCTCATCTTCCTCCTTCTCTCCCTTTCCAGACCTCCCCCTTTTTTCCTCCTCCTCTCCCTGCCTTCCTTCCCAACTCTCTCTCTCTCTCTTTTCCATAAGCTCTCCCCTCTTCCTCCTGTCCTTCCCTCCCTTTCTCCCTCCCTACCCCTCCCTCTTCTCCCCTCTCCATCATTCTCACCTCTCTTCACTCTCCTTCTCATTCATTCTTTCTAACCTTCCCTTTCTTCCCCCTTCCTCCTCTCCCCACTCATAACAATAATGGCGACTGGGGGACAACGAACCTATTTTTGTTTTATTTTTATTTAGAGAGAAAAAATATTGCCGTCCTTCGCTCATCTGGCAAAATAAACGGATGAATAATATTGACGGAAAAAAATAATTAATGGTTTTAGGAAGGGAGGAAATGTTTTGGTTTATTCTGTTCTTATTTATTTATTTATTGGATTATTTATTTATTTTATTTATTTATTGGATTATTTTTTTTATTTATTGGATTATTTATATATTTATTTATTGTTGTATTTTTATTTCATTATTTATTTATTTTTTTTTCATTTATTTATTTTTTCTTATTTATTGGCTTATGAATTTTTATTTATTTTTCTATATTTACTTATTATATATTTTATTTCTGATTTATCCTGTGTTCCTCGTTGTGTGTTCCTCGTTGTGTGTTCCTCGTTGTGTGTTCCTCGTTGTGTGTTCATCGTTTTGTGTTCTTCGTTGTGTGTTCATCGTTGTGTATTCATCGTTTTGTGCTCTTCGTTGTGTGTTCATAAGAACATAAACATAAGAAAATAAGGAGTCTGCAATAGGCCGGTTGGCCTGTGCATGGCAGCTCCTGTCGAGAGTTACTACCACTCTCTGTCATCCATGAATCTATCTAGCCTCCTTTTGAAACTTTCCAGAGTTCCAGCACTTACTACAAAGTTGCTAAGCTTGTTCCACTCGTCCACCACCCTATTTGTAAACCAGTCGGTGAAGCGAAGAATGACGAAAATGATTCCGGGACTTAGAAACCTTCCATATCAGGATAGGTTAAAGAAACTAAACTTGCATTCCCTAGAAAGACGAAGAGTGTGGGGAGATATGATAGAAGTATTTAAGTGGGTGAAAGGAATCAATAAAGGGGATATAGATAAAGTTCTTATAATATCCGAGCAGGATAGGACTCGGAGCAACGGATTCAAGTTGGATAAGTTTAGGTTTAGGAGGGAGATAGGAAGAAACTGGTTCACAAATCGGGTGGTGGACGAGTGGAACAAGCTTAGCAACTTTGTAGTAAGTGCGGGAACTCTGGAAGGTTTCAAAAGGAGGCTAGATAGATTCATGGATGATAAAGAGTGGTAGTAACTCTCGACAGGAGCTGCCATGCACAGGCCAACCGGCCTATTGCAGACTCCTTATTTTCTTATGTTTATGTTCTTATGTACATAAAAACCCTCAAAGAGCAAAGTGTTTTCGGTAAGTACCAACACGCCACAATGACGTTTCGGTGTGTTGGTTCGTTTGTCTCTCGCTGAACGACATATGTCTCAGGGAATATAACAAACCTGATAAAGACTGACCTTCCTGATGATAAGAGCGAGGAGGAGGATCACTAGGCAGCTCAGACACACACACTGCTCTTCACCAGGGTGTGCTTAACATGTTACCCCTCACATACGCAACGCTAGCAATAGTAGTTTCAGCAGCAGTAGCAACAGGAGCACCGGCAGCAGTGGTGGTTGTTGTAGTAGTGGTTGTCAATAGACTGTCTGGTGCGTGGCTTTAACGAAGTCGACATCTCAGCTACACCGCGCACCTCCCTCGCTCAATGACCAATAAAAATCCAGATACGTTCCACTCACTTTACGCTGCTCCTTACTGGCTCTTGGAAAAGATCTAAAGAAGGACTGCGGATAATCCAAATACATACATAAAATGCTAGTGACAGGGGGGAAGGAGGTTCAGGGGAAGGATAAAGGGAGGATTGAAGTGAATTTTAGGAGGAGAAAATAGGTGCAGTGGCTAAACACCGCTTGCGTGAGGGAGTTTAAGTTGGAGGCAGCAGCAACTCGCCTGGACTCGGCTAGGAGGCGGCAGGACAGAGTCAGGTTAGCGTCAGGTCAAGCGTCAGGTGCGTGTTGGGTTGGGCCATGGTTTCTCAGTGCTTGGTCGGCTTGATTGTGTGTGGTATTTTCTTGTTTGGAGGAAATGTCTTGGTTTTCTGTCTTGGTATTCTTCTTAGCTTAATGTAGATTTTCTTCTAACTCTCCTCCTCTTCTTGCTCTCTTGAAGTGTCCATTCATTCGTTGTTCGTCTTCCTCGTGTCTTATGTCCTCATAGGTGTGGAAGAAGTCGGAGACGGTGAGGTTGACCACGTGGGCTTCAGCTCCACGGGCCTCGTGGTGTTCTTGATTCTGTGTGGCGGGTGTCTTTTCTTGAGTTTTCTTTTCTTGGGTTTTCTTTTCTTGGTTTTTCTTTTCTACTGGTTTTTTCTTGTCTTGGGAGCGTACAGCAAAGAGGGCCTCTTTGTAGCTCAGTTTCTTGTCGAGTCGAGCCTTGGCTATCCTGCATTCCTCCTTCCATTTCGAGCAGGTCCGATCGGCGGAGGAATGTGGGCCGCCACAGGCAGCGCATCTTTTTACTGTGTTGGGGTACAAGTGCTCCTGGCAGATGATCGGAAATGACGTCATGGAATGCACCTACTGTACTGTCAGGAGCCAGCAGCCAACCCACTTGAACACTATCTCCTCGACTGCGAAGTCACACAAAGCCTCCGAAACAGAACTCAAAACTTCCAAGAAGCACACACAACACCAGCGGCCACTCTAACCCGAAAGGCCCCAACAGACCACATTCACCACCTACTCCGGGTCATCACACGATACCCACCACCCAGATAGCTTAGAAAGTATCCTCTCCCAGCAAGTGCGGACCCCAGTTCGGGGGGCGCGCCACTCCGAAACTGACCACGTCCAAGAGTGGGGGTTGGTGGTAAGCGTCCACTGATCGGGGGTCCGCTCACACTTGCAACCTGCAGTATCCTTCCATATCTGCAGGTAGGACAACCTCCAATCCCAATCCGGTCTGGCTGCTCCAGGAGCTCCAGCCGGAACCACCGAATGGGCCGCCTATAGGCAAAGGCCCGTGTCGGACTACGGTACGACAATCTCAACAACAACAACAACTAAGTAATTACAGTGCAGCGTGAGCCACCGCTGAGAGAAGACGTATGTCGTATTTACTCCCGACCCACGTGCTTCCCACCTGCTCATGACGGCGCTTAACCAGACTTACTGTCGCCACACACGCCACCCTCTCTCTGACATGGATATCTCGTCTCTGTTGAATTGACTTGCTTGTTTCTCTGTGTTTTAGGCTCACATTTCTTAGTGCCCTCACCGATTATCCCAGTATTAACGAACCCTGCGGGAACTGTCGTTAGGACAGGCCACAAAGGGGCCCCTTAGAGGGGTGTGAACTGGGCCGGTGAGTTTAGCTGATAGGGTAGAGTAGGCTCCTCCTTTTTTTGGAGGTCCTGTTGCAAAACCACAGCCACCAACCTACGATCCCCCTGGAGGTTGGCTACGGCACTGGTCCTAGGGCAACAAGGAACTAGGTAGGTATAGTGAGCCTTAACTGTCAATCTATTGATTTAAGACGAGCGAGAGAGACGTACCCAATGGAAGGAAAATGCCACAAGAGGCTTCGGAAGGAAGAAGACTTCTCGGACATGGACAATATGTCCCCTGCAATCCACCCCGTGGCAGAACCACCCACCGTCGCGAATCCGAATGTGACAAAGTACAAGATTCCCAAGGAAACCGAGTTCGACCATGCATACGAGGTAGTAGTAGCACTGGAACTGGAATTCAAGAACATCAAGTTCAGTGTGAACCCCAATCTAGTTGGAGACCTGATACTTTCCCCTCAAGACAACAACACAGCCAAGATCCTCAGCGAGGTCACCAATCTCAACGGGAGGACGGTCAAGATAATACCATTAGACCCCGAGGAGAAAACAACCAGAATGGTCCTACTACGATATCCTCTGGAACTACCTGTAGAAGTCATCGTAAAACATCCAAAAGTGACCAAGGCAGAGCGCTGTGTTTCGAGTCAGGACAAAGCACAGACCAGGCAAGTGCTAGTGGACATCAAGGGGACAGTCCCAGAGGAGCTAGACCTAGGCAACTGGGGGACTTACAAGTTACGTCTTTTTGTCCCAGAACCACTACGATGCTACAAATGTCAGAAATTTGGACATCACCAATCCAGGTGCCACAAAAATGTGAGATGTGGCATTTGCAGTCAAAGCCACATGACAGAATTGTGTATTCAAAAACACAAGGACGGAACCATCACGACAGCCAAGTGCCCAAATTGTGGAAAGAAACATCACGCTTGGAGCACATCATGCCCAGAGAGGAGAGAGCGGATGAAAGTTGCAATGGCAAAAATTCAACCACAATACAGAACACAAGCACCTCAGAGCACATTCGTGTGGGGTCAACAGCGACAGAATACGGTCAACCCAACACCCACTCCGCCCCAACTGTCAGAGGATTCCTTCCCTCCACTTCCTCCACCAGGATTCAGGACAAAACTGAAGACACCGGGACAAAATCAGTCCATGTAGGAAACCATGACAAACCGGTGGACTCCCCAACCGCAGGTCCAGAGCTGTGTAGCAGTAAAAGGACAGAACAATCCAGTATTGGTGGAGAACACCATATTGCCTGGGACACTGCAACCCCTTCAGGCGACCACCCAACTGAATACACCCCAGCCTGCCAATCTACAAGCGGCATTCACCGAAGAACAAATAAAACAGATGATCACTATTATGATAGTGACTTTCTCCACGATAATGAAGACACAAGATACCAGCACCGAAAATATAATAAATGCAGTTATGACACAGCTCACAGAAAAGATGCAGGGAGACCAGACCCCCAAAACTCCACAACTATAAGTGGAACAGACGACGCCCTTGAGACAGAGACAGACATCAGACAAGAGGATGAACTTGCCATCCAAGAGATCACTCAAAACCGTGAAGCCTCCAGCCCCTTGCAACAGATCACGAGGAACAGAACAACAAGCACAGACCGTCAGCAAACACACGATCACAGACAAGAGCGACAGCACCCTGAAGAGAGAAGAAAAAACTCCCGAGGTTCCACCTCCTGCTCCTCCTTCAGAGCAGGTGCCCAAGAAACAGCCACCACCCCTAACGGACGAGGAGGAGAGCGACTCAACCATGAACGCCGAGAGCAACTACAGCACCAGCGACGAGGAGATAATGATAGAATAGCTTCACCTCCTTGTAATCTCAAGATAACACAGTGGAATGTACAAGGCCTGTCCAACAAACGGCATACTGTACAAGCAGCAGTCATAGCTAACAATATTGATGTCCTCATTCTGCAAGAAACAATGATGTCCAAAAATAAACAATTCCGCTTGCCTGGATACCAACCGTACTCTGTACCAAAGGGGTCCAACTCCCATGGCAGCATGATTCTCGTCAGGGCGACCATCCCCAGTTCAGAAGTAGAACCAGTTCACTGTGGAGATGGAGTAGAGGCACAAGCTGTTCGGATGCACCTGGCAAACGACAGTCTTGTAGTATACAATATCTATTAACCGTCTACCAAACGACTAGAAGCCGGTGAACTACTGACACAAGCAACACAGGAACTTGTGCTCATTGCTGGGGACTTTAATGCCCACCATCCAACGATCAATTCGACCGCAAAAATCAATGAGGATGGTATTCACCTAGTGGAACTGCTGACAGATGTTCCAGAAATAGCGCTCATTAATACTGGGGAACCAACACACATACTGGGAGGAATACTGGACCTCACATTTATCTCCACTGAGCTCGTTCCAGTAGCTCAGTGGGAGATGGATGATGAACTGACCGGTGACCACTTTGCAACGACAACTACTTTGAGAATGGAACTACTCCCTCCTCCCCCACGTCCGCCACCCAGATGGAATACCAAGAAAGCAAATTGGAAATTATATCAAGATGAACTCCAAAAATGGTTTTCGAACTATGAACCAGCAGAAGATATTGACCAACTAAACCAGGACCTTACTGGTGCCATACAACATGCAGCAGAGAAAGCAATACCAAAAACAAACCCTACAAATAGACACCACAAAGACTAATGGTTCTACAATGACGAAGTCAGAGAACAGAATCACAGAATCAACACATTCAGAAGACATCTCCGACTATACCCTTCCCCTGAGGGAGTGAAACTCTTGAGAGCTGCTGTCCAACATGCTTGTCAAATTACTCAGAAAATTAGGGAAGACAAATGGCTCGAGTGGTGCGCAACGTTTAATGCACACACCAGCCTGAGTGAACTCTGGAGAAATCTCAGGACAGCAACAGGAAAACTGAACAGATCTCCAGCCCTCCCCCCAGCCACTACAGGAAGCAAATCGCTTGGCAGAGCATTTTGCAGAACGTTCGTCATCAGCTCAACTACCTCCTGAAATAAGACTTCATCTACAGCAAGTACAATTGGAGAGAGAAGTAGTAGTCAGACATGCAATTGAGCAAGCTGACACTACAGACTGTCTGTTTACTATAGAAGAAATCAGAAGGGCCAGGAAAACAAGCAAGGACACCGCTCCTGGCAGTGATGGTATTACCTATTCATTACTCAGCAATGCAGGACCGGCTGGTGAACTTGCTCTTCTAACAGTTATAAACGCATCATGGTCAGC